TAAAATATATGAGGTGTTGTATACCTAGGTATATCAGTATTGCTTACAAGTTACAAGGTGCCTGTATTTTGTTTTAATTGTTTCAATTGAATTTCCCCTAAAAAAAAAACCATTTTACTTACCATTTAATACTGATTACGGTTTTAAATTTTTAATAATATAGGTATTGCATTGATATGTTTTTATGTATTTTCGTTTGAACGTTGGAATAAAATATAAGAGATACTCGATAGGTATATATTTTCAACTATTTGATTAATTCCTTTGAACTTGCCCTTGTGTATAATAATATAGCTATAGTGACGACCCTAAACTAATAAATATATTGTGTGGTGATCGATCTGCGTTTGTATTAAGAATTATTCATAAGGAATCGTTATTATTATTATTATTATTATATAATTTATTCATTGAATATCTCATAAAGAAGAATGTGTAGTTTAGCAGCACGTTTTTATTTACTATTAATTTCCGATTTAAGATTCGATGGTGCATCCTATCTTAATTGACCTTCATAATACATACATTTACTATTTTGATCGAAGCGCATTTCTTTGTATGCAATTGAAACAAACATCTTGACATTCATTTTTTTTATGTGGCTAGCCACTATTTGGCAGAATTTTCGGTGCACCATATAGGTTTCTGTCATGCTATGAAGGAAGGTAGAAGTCTCTCTAGACATTCGCTGGATAGTTATTAAAAATTAACCGTTAACCCTCGACTAATAAAGGGTAAAATTACACCTTGGCCTCATTAAATTTCCAGGTTTCAATGTGTGAATGAATCAACAGTCAACATGTTAAAGGAATCAGAAAGTCATTTTTTAATATATTATTAATATACCGGTGTGTAACATCATTTGAAAGTTTTATTTTTAAATAGAAATATCGAGTTTTTGGTTTCTATCCGGTGCAATAACCAGTCATAAAAATACAGTATTTTTTATTTATTTAGTTTAAAATTAGTTTATTATAATATATATAATATTTTTTTATATTGAAGTCCCACTATAATAGTTAGATTATTGTTTAACATACATACTGTAAAATAAATTTAAAAATGAAAAATCATATAATATATGGGAAATAAGTTTTTATTTTTTAAATTTTTGTTATGTAAAAAAATGTTCCTTACTTATATAATTCACTCTTCTTATCTATTTTTTTTTTTTATTAAGTATAAAATGTAAAGTAAAATAAACAAAATAAAATACATGCTTACAGCTCGGTTGATTTTAATTATAATAAATAAATTACGTTCATATTATTATTATCGAACGGTGTACTTTGCCCTAACACGAAAATCCATTACTTACCATTACCCGTTTGATTTGAACATTACAAAAACTGCACCTACTTAATTATTCTAGGCTACCGATATGTTACTTACATATTATTTAATCTAACGCATACAAATTGCGTATAATGTGTTCATTGGTAAATTTTGCAATGAACAAATTGGTAAACGCATTTAATAAATAGTATTTGTACAAAACCTTTGGAACCATAACAATATATATATATATATATATATATATACATATATAGTTAAAGGCGCAACTGAGCTTCATTTCTGTGTGAGCACCACATATGATTTTCCCAAAACGATATGTATTATTTTCTAGTACTTTATCGCATATATTGTTCAATAAGAATACCGAGGTACTACAAAAAAAAAAAATGAATTAAAAAATATTTTTCGGTACAGAACTATCATGGTGGGTGGGTGATACCGGGATATTTATTTTCAACTCTTTTTATGCAAGTACAATATAAATCTTATGGACAACAGAATATTTTTATATCACCTCCTCTCTGGTTTTAAAGTCTGACGTAGGATATCTTAGACCCGGCTTTTTATTACCTATGACTTTCTGTGTTTGTTTTAAGAAAAAAATCACACAAAACTGTAAATATAGTTTCGTGTTACCTATATATATGTATGTGTTACCTATACCTATGTAAATATATATTTTAAAATAATATATATATTATTTTAAAATACATTTTTATCAAAGTAATTTAGCTTAGGTCGTTAAGCTTTTTTTATTTTTACCAAAGTGCAGGGTTAAACCGATTAGGTGGATTTTAATTGTTTTTATTCAGTCGTTTACCAAAAATAAGTTTGATTTAGCGATTATGAAATTAAATATAATACTGCAATAGACTTGTAGAGTAAATAAAAATATGTTTTGAAACGATAAACTTGTTTGATTGTAATAGATGTAAAATAAGTTTTCTTGCTTACGTATACACAAAAACAAAATACATCTTTAATATTAAATTTACCAACAGCTAAGAGGTTATTTTGATATTTAAATATATATATATATATAAAAGAATTAATTTTTCTCATATGAAGAGTCGAGATCGTTGGCAGTAATTAGGAAACCTGAATGGCTCGCAAATCTTTTAACAATGGCTCCAATACTTTTTCTAGTCCCAAAATGTTGCCGGTATTAGCTTTTTCAGCTGCTACAAACGTTATCAAAACCGATGAACAATTTAACTGGAAACCTAAACACATCATCATTATTCTTAACAGTATAAAAAAAGGTCCAGTAACATAACAACAAACTTAAGTGATATATAATATATTGAATACAATTACAATAGGTTTCTTCTTTATTACTTACTTGATAATTTGTGTAAAAACAAATAACGGTTTTGTTTTTTCCAAGTTCGAGTTTTCCTGCTTGTTCCGATGCAGAATTAAAATCCGACAGAAACGAATGTTTAAAGTTAAAATTATTGTCCAGACTTTTATCGGCAGAAGCTAAAACACAAAAATATATTTAGTAATTTAATATAAATAGTTGTATTATGGTTAAATTAATTTAATGTTATTAACACCCGTTGTACCTTTAATAATGACGACGCCATCATGATCCGATATGATAATTGTGTAAAGTCCGTCAATTTAATTTAACGTTTGATGTAAAAATCGTCTGAGTTTCTGTAAATATAAAATAATAATTTTATTTTATTAAAAAAAAAAAAAACAAACCAAAAATTAATCTAAAAAGTCCGATGCAAGAAGACGACCGAGAGTTGGACTAGATGCAGACGGTATTATTACATTGGTATTGCTTAATATAGTTAAAATGGAACAGGGATGAGACGAATGCAAAACAGTTATTGATATCAAAGAGAGTGTGGGATTAATAATTGACAAGACTGAAAAGGAACTATTGTCGGTGTAATTAACAATTTTCGTAACCCCAAACAGAAAGGTTTTAAACAATGCTTTAATATATTAAACAGAGGATATTTTCCAGCAACAGAGATGTTTTCTTCTGAGCTGTTGTCAATACTAAAAAAGCAGGTAAACATCATAGTTTTGCTCCCACTAAGAACATATGCGTGCAAAATATGGTGCAGTACTCAGGGAATCATAGAAAAATTGTAAAGAAAAGATTTACACAAGCCGAAAGAATAACATTATCTAGTATAAAGGCTTGAAATGGGCAACAAATGTCATGTGGCAGACAAAAGAAGGCCTCATAAAAAATGTCACAATGATAAACAGCCATTACAAAAGGTTGTAAAAGTTGTCTTGGTGAAGAAAAACTCACCCCTAACAACCCATCCCGGACAGCAAATTTGTCTAGAAACCATCATCCATGATGGCAATGTGGGGCTTTAGGCCTGTTAAGCTTACATGATGATGATGATGAAGAGAAACTCAACAAGATTTTTGACCACGAAGAATATTGGCAGAGCATCAAACATTTCAAGCATCAAAAGCATTTTATAAGCCTTAGAAGTAGACAAATAGGTTAACATTAAGTTTTCACATATTACCTCCATGGTTATTTCGGTTTCTTCTTGACGTAAACAATAATCAAAAACAAATTAAAACTTTCAACTTTTTATTATATTAATACGATTTTCGAGTAAAAACAAGTTTTAAGCTGAAAACTAAGTTTAAATATTGAAATAAGACCTATAAAGTATGTTTATGTAGTTTTAATTGGTTAAGTTCAAATTACAAGTGATTTATTGTATCAATATTTATAAGTATTTACAAAAACTATACTCATTAAAGTTTTTGGTTTCAAATACAAATTATAATATAATTTTCATTTCTTATCTATTTGATATTTCTTAGAACTATTTGTTATCAAAGCTTGGTGCTTATTAATCTACAGTTAGGGAATATTTCTTATCAAACTACCTATAAAAAATGACCGGGTAATTTAATATTTACCCAAATCTAAGGAAACGGTTTCACTGAAATAAAGAATGGGCCAATGAAACGAGCGATTTTCCCATATAAATACATTGGAAGAAAATCGCTCTTTCCATTGCTCAAACTTTTAGTGTTAGTAGAGTTAATTTTGAATAATTGTTTTATTTTACTTTTTATTGATTTTTTTGTTTAAATATATTTTTGTCAAGAAACTGTTTGTGCGTTTGAAGGAAAATAATAAATCAACAGTCTAATAAAACGTGATCCGCTGTAAACTGTTGTGGTATTAGAAAATTGATTTTAAAAGTTTCAATATCATTTCAAAATAGTCGTAAATAAAATATCTAATATTTTCTTGTGTGGCGGATCAATTAGTGTTTCTACTCTTTTTCACACATTTTTGGTACTTAACAAAATTATGTGTTAGCACTCGGCTGTGTAATTTTTAGCAATATATAAAAACATATACATTTTTTACCGATTCAAATAAGTGAATGGTTGATATAAAAAAATGAACAAACTCTTTCATGAATGAAAATCTTGAGAAAAGAATAACTACGGCTTATACAATGTAGAGTAACAGTGGAAGGACTATTAAACAAAAATGTAGTACTACCTAAGTACAGAGTTTAGTGTAAGTAAACTTTAAACAGATTGTTTATACCAATTATAGTATCCATAATAAATTATACGTACATGAAATTAAAAAAAAAGCTCCACAACGAAGCTAAAAAATCTTATTAACTACATATATATATATATATATATATATATATATAATTTTACAAAATAATATAAATGCTGTTAAATATAACTGCGTCAAATAACAAATTGTCATAATAAATGGAAAAATATTTTTAACATTTTAATCGGCCATACTAGGATTTTTTTGCAACTTATTTATATTAGACTTAATACTCCTTTCTACGCTGACCTGTGAAGCTGCGTGTGCAAGTTGTTTGGTGAAAAGTAAAAGTGGAGTATGTAATTATTAAAAAAAATACTAATTATTAGAAATAAATATTTTTTCATTTTACTTACATTAAAAACTCTTTACTATAAGGTTTTTGCTTTTCTTCTTCTTTTGCGTCCACTTTTCTGTAACGTTTTACACTACTAGATCGCTCCTTATCCCTAATTTTAGCATCATGCATCATTTCTTTTCTCAATTTCTCCATCTCTTCATCTGTCATTTTCCCCTTCTTTTTAAGTGACTCGCTGAGACGGGCAAGTTCAGCTTTTTGGCTATTTGCTACTTTGGACGGTACCAACGAATTATTTGAAGGTTTTTTTTTTAACTTTTGAGCAACAGGGACCTAAAAATATGTTATTGTTAATTGTTACGCTCAAAGTGTAAAATGGAGTGTACGTAAAAAATAAAATAAAATATAATAACTATTAAAAATACTTACAAACAGACCATAATTTTTGGGTTTGGTTTCATTCTTGTTATGCTCTGCGTCTGACAAACTACTTTCAGAACTACTATGGCACCGTTTCGGTTTTAGTTTTAAAACTTTTATGCTTTTATCACAGTCTGAATCACTTGACAATTTAGACTCATGTTTGTTGTTATCATAGTGCTTTTTCGGCTCAGTTTTTTTTCTCTGTTTGTCATGTGGTTTCGAGCTGCTCGATCTACTTTTTCTATTTCGATCATTCCTGTTATTACTACTTTTACAATCATAATTAGAGTTCTTTGAATTCCTTTTCTGGATTTCTTCATCAGAACTGCCCAATCTGTCTTTGACTTGGTTTTTATTTTTTACAGCCTCATACCGTTTAGGATTTGTTTGTTCGGACTTTTTTTCACAACTCGGCGACCTATGTCGCTTTCTATCATTGTTCTTACCACTTTGGTGATAACTATTCCTTTCCTTGTACCTAGATTTTGTTGTCTTTCGAATCATCATCATTGTATTTTCTTACGTAATTCCTAGGCTCGTGCCTATCGTTATTCCTATCCCGAGAGTTCTTGTTTTTTTGGTAAAATTTATCGTCCGGCGACCTCGATCTAGGCCTTCTATTGTATTTTATTTCTTTGTGTTCGTTCCTTTTATTACGATCACTTGGACTGCCATTCGATTCACTACTAACAGACCTCTTCCGGAGATTTCTATCATAATTACGCCGTTGCGAAGGAGAATCGTACCTTCACCTCTGGTTGTATTTTCTATTTACTTCTTGTCGTTGGTCTTTATACGGGCTGTGACCAGGAACTTCTCTGTCCAAACTGGCCGATTTGTTTCTTTGTTTTCTTTGCCTATCATTATTTATTTTATCAGTCAATTCTTTTTCAGTCTCTTTAATATCTTCCTTATGCTTCTTTTTATGTTTAGTGATTGACAATATTTGTGCAAGATCAAGTCCGGCCTTCTCATACGATTTCAAACGGCTTACAAGGATCATGTCCAATTGATGGTCGTCAATTCCGTTTTTTTGAAACAGTTTAGTATTTTGTTGTTTTTTCAAACGCATCGGATTCTGCAGAAGTTTTCGAGTGCATTCAATTTCTCTTTTCTTAATTTTCACCAATAGATCCTCAGAGATTTTCTTAGACATGTCCACTTGTGAGAATTTATACTCTGCCAAGCATATTGGAGTGGGTAAAAATGTTTCTGAAATAATAATATAAAAAATATTATTCGTGAAGATTATTGCTTTTTAACCCTCCCAAACTTAATAATACAAATTCTTCTCTTTTATCTTTCGTGTGATTCCTTTGTTACAGTTTTCAAGTGATCACTTAATCATGGTCTACCGTTTCTTTCGCTTAACCATTTGATTAACTCTAAACATTTATTTAAATCCATTTCCTTTAAATAAAAAATTCTACTTTTTCAAACTAAGCCTACTCTGTAGCATAATAATGTAATTGACATAAAATTTATTGACTGAATAACTAACGAAATATTACCTTTACCAGAATTGTCGCCGAAATTTTTGTCGACTTTTCGTCCCAAAAGATAATCTTCTTTCTCGACCTTGATACCATCGTACATCCAGTCCATCATGACTGCTTCTTGATTGTAAAATACCTGTAGAATATATACTAGTTTTAGTTTTAGTTAGTTAACGGGTGGGCCCAGAATGGGCCCATGCACTCAGACCTACAGGTCCATTGTGCACACCCTCTCACCGAAGTCCTGTTTCACATAGTTTGTCATGCCCATGTCCTGCTTAGTTAATAACCTTCTAAGTTGAATAGTCCTGATTTCTTTATAAATCTCAGTAACTCTTTAATCCCAGTATCCTTGATTTCATCCTGTCCAGGAAAATGTCTACCAAAGATACTTTGCCTTCGGGTAGCAAGGGAGTTACATTCACACATGATGTGGTATGACACTAGTTACTACGATTTACAGTAACTGTATATATTTTCTAACAATAATATTCTCTAATAATTATATTTCACAACTCGTCAACCGTGGCCTGCGCGCTGTTTTTATTATGCTTATCACATTATAGATAAAGTACTTGTTTATACCGCATCTGATAAGCGTTGGTAACCATGGCTTATACCAAAATATATTCAACCCTTATTGGCCGCCGACAAGTGGGGACCAAGGCGTTTAAATCATTTTTCCGAAACACCTACGTTTAGTAGTAAAAATCATAATAAAGTGTTTTTTTATTTTATTTTTAGGCGCAACTAAAGTTAAAGAACTAAAAATATAATTAAAGATTTTATCTGTACTTATAACATAAAAAAAAAAATTTGGAGTCGCTATTTGTTTTGTGAAAAATCACTAAAACGTAGATTTTGCAACAATTTTGGGTATTCAAGCTTAAAATTTGATACATTATAGTCAATTATATGGCTGTTACATACGAAACAATAGCATAGAAACAAAAGATATGTAAGTCCGTGTTATTATTTAAACGCTAAACAATATAATTAGTATGGCCAATGCTAAAAGTTAATGAAGACATGGCATTCTAAAATAACTTCTATAAGTCTGACTTTGGTATAACGTGAAGAAAATTAAGATTAAAGCCAGTCGTTTACCTTGGCCGTAGAATATACAGACAGCAATATTATTTATGTTTAGTTCGGTGCTACATAAGATATCAAAAGCATTCCTATATCCGTATTGATTCTAAATATTAACCCTCGTCGAACCTTAGTATTTTTTAGGCGAAAATTAAAAAAAAATACATCATCAATGTACATCAAACGCTATTATCTTATTTATAAATACAATAGTTAAGTACATAAACTTATTATAAAAAAAAATCTTTATTTAAAAAGTCAAATAAAAAAATTAAAATTTTAAAATACATTTCAAAAATGTTAAATTTTAAACTTGAGCTACCTAATTACATCAAAATGAACACAAAACAAATTAATTAATTTTTCTTTTAACATAAAAAAAAAATCGTTTAACTAACATTATCTAATCTTATATGTACGAAAATATAACAGCTTAAAAAATTTTTTTTAAAAAAAGTATACCCTATAATTTATACTGCATTTGGTAAACCGACAGAATTACAAAAAAAAAGAATACATACAACCTTAACCTTTTAAAGTATTTTATTATAATTACTAAATAAAACTAATAGAGCGTTAATACATTAGAAAAATCTTTTCTATCTTTTCTAGTTTTTCTAGAAAAGATAGAAAAACTAGAAAAACTAGAAAAACTAGAAAAACTAGAAGAACTAGAAAAACTAGAAAAACTAGAAAAGATAGAAAAGCCAGAAAAACTAGAAGAGATAGAAAAACTAGAAAAACTAGAAGAGATAGAAAAACTAGAAAAACTAGAAACGATAGAAAAACTAGAAAAGATAGAAAAACTAGAAAAACTAGAAAAAATAGAAAAACTAGAAATACTAGAAAAGATAGAAAAACTAGAAAAGTTTTTCTAGTTTTTCTATCTTTTCTATCTTTTCTAGTTTTTCTAGTTTTTCTGGTTTTTCTATCTTTTCTAGTTTTTCTATCTTTTCTAGTTTTTCTATCTTTTCTAGAAAAACTAGAAAAACTAGAAAAGTTTTTCTTGTTTTTCTAGTTTTTCTAGTTTTTCTAGTTTTCTAGTTTTTCTACAACGAGCGACAATCAACAACGAGCGTCAAAAATTAACATTGAGCGTCAAAAATCAACAACGAGCGTCAAAAATCAACATTGAGCGTCAAATATCAACAACGAGCGTCAAATATCAAACACGAGCGTCAAAAATCAACATTGAGCGTCAAAAATCAACAACGAGCGTCAAAAATTATAATGTCGGTTATTATCAAGAAAATTTTTTTGATATAAGCTTTATACTATACAATACTGTACCTTAGGGACAAAACACTTCAATAATAATTATAACTAATCGAAAATTCCTTGGTCGTTGATACGACAAAAATTGAACACATATCCTTATAGCATTATAATGCTGTGTTTACTGAACGATTAATGATCTATTTGTGACGTTTTTTGGATATTATTTTTATAGTAAATTATTCAACGGTTTTCAGCGATAAAGAGTACAAAGCTAAGGCGGAGAAATATCTTGGAGAAAAAGCTCCAAACTGGATATTTAACCTGGCTGATAGAATAGAAAGAGAACGCAAAGACCCGTTTCCCGCTTTAAAAGATATAACAGATTAGATTATGTAGATAACCCATAATATCAAATAGATATCAATACATAATATTTAAACAGCTTAAATAATAATAAACACTGTATAATACATGTATTCATATGTTAAATTATACAAATAAAACAAAATATATTGTTGTATTATTATTTAATAAATATATTGTTTTATATATACAAAACAATTAATTTAAACAAATTATACTATCAAAAACAAATCTTAAGCCCTACAGTTACACTTAAATAAGCTAAATAAAAAATATGTTTCTAATTTTTGTGATGCAAAGATTTTTGAAAAACTTACTGCGCACCGTAATTATATGTTAAAAAAAATGTATAAATTGGTTGACTTTTGAAGACATTTGTTTAGCGGTTTAAATGGTATAAAAAGAAAATTATGACTTCATTATGAATATTTATGTTACACACAAAATTATAAAATAATGTAAGCAACAAATTCGACAGAATAGCTCTTGTCTCTTAGACGTAAGAACTATTTGACTTACACATACTTATTTGTATTTAAGTATACAAATCAAAACAACGCTTTTCCACAGACTTTGGAACAAACAGTAAGACATATTACTGTCGTATATCATATTCAATGTACGTCATAGATTTCATGTTGAATTTTGAGTTTTACTTTTACCACGTTTAACACAAATGTGGATCGAAATAAAAAATGTTTATAAGATTCGTATTAAAATGTATAATAAAAAAAGCATGTACAGTTGGTTCGGGGAATTGTGGCACGGAGCATAGTGTTGTTCACCATTGTGTGAGGTACACAAAGGAATCCGTATTTAATTTTAACTGTTATATTTTCCAAACGAAACAATCAAGTATTAAATTTTAACCAGAAAAACACGTCGATCTAATGATATAATAATATATAAAACTTTCAATGTTTGAATTGCTCTTTTTTTTTCGTACACTTCTCGGTATTACTTTTTATATTAAAAATTCGAAGGTTTTTAACAAAGCATCAAAAGTTGACAACTTTTTCGAGTCGGGCATATTATTTACATAAGGTTTGCGCAAATAGATATTTTATTATTTTACAACTACTGCCTATAATAATCCGTAAAACAAATAGTAAATCCAATTTAAAAAAAAACCAATGTGATAAAACCACTTTAAATAAACGTTTCAATGCGATTCTGTAGAAATGCCACAGTGTGGTAATGACAATAATAATCAATGTACTTAATATTGCATTTTTACTATTATGGTGATTTAATTGACATTGCTCCCAAATGGTTAACTTTTAAAGCTTTTATTACACATTTATTTTTGATGCGTAAAACGTATTTTCTCACCTTGTGGTGAATTTATTTTTAAAGACTTGTAACCTTCACTAGAGAAGAACTTTGGATTTTTATTATATTTATTAAATCATTGAAACATTATTTTTTCTAATAGCTTATAACACATTTAAATGGCATAAATAAATACATTTTATTAAAATTTTAATACGGATACAATTTATATAAATAAAAAAACATTTGTAATTACTGAAAGACACAACAATGTACATCAGTATGCAATAACTATGTTTCTGCAGGGCTGATTGGAACTGCTTGTTGGCCACCTCGGTTAGGATCAAAGAGTACTTTTTGTGTGGGCACGTCATAATAAAAACCAAGTCGGATCAAATGACTGCTGATGTACCCGGTGCATGAATCTAACAGGTATGTGTAAAAGTCCAACATTCTATTTGGGTGAATTCTAGGATTATATTTACCGGTTAATGCCGTTTTACTGTATAACTGGTAGTCGGTAACCGGTACTTGAAAGTCTGGTGAACATTTAGAGATCAATAAGTTTCTTAAGTCGCCGGCAACTTTTTTGAACATATCGTTGATACATAAACCTCCCGGTATAAGTCCAGTATACACTACGGGGGTTTTTATCGTGAGGAAATCTTCAAGACCTGACAGAATGTTGTGAAATATATTGTCAGCGACATGTTTCTCGATTATAGTATCGATGTACTGCAATGTGCCCATCAAATGTACTATAACTGACCTACCTCTTTCGATACTGTCTTCGAGTTTGACAAACGATTTATCGGCGTGGCCGTTGTCCGGTCCTTTCGTGTTGCCATACTCATTGATTGCTTCAAGCGCCAATAAGAGAAACCAATTGAGTTTCACTCCATAAGCGCATCCCATCAACGGCGATACCATATCCAACCTGGTCACTGTGTTTTTATTTTCATCCCATATTCTACATATAGGTCCCCACATGACACGGCTCTCGAACGACATGAACCACATGCCTTGCCAATGTTGTTCTTGTTTGACATGGCTGAGCACGTCATCACTTGTCGGTTCTGCGCACACCTTCATCTCGTTGCTTAAGCAGGCCAAAACAAATGGAACTAATAACTTAATAAATGAATTTTTTTCCATTTTTTTTTTTTTTTTTTACACTCGAGCAATATGATTTCACGCGATCAAACAACACGACAAACGTAGTCACTATGAAAAATCAGCATTCCGATTTGCGCCGCCACGTTCTGGTGGAATCGTATTCCACGTTTCAAACCACCTGACAGCACGCATTGTTTGACTAGAGTATAAATCACTTCTCTAAATCAACGTACAATTTATCAGTGCTTGGAAAGTAATAAGTAAATTGTTCAAACATGATATTTTTGGGGTTTTTCCGGCCTTTAAGACCATCCCGTACAACAAATATTCCTCCACCTCTCTCTGTCTTCTGCCGAAAACATTAAATAAATAACAGTTAATTCTATAAACGATTACTCAAACCGGATTGAGTTATAATATTTATAAGTTTACTGTTTTGCTTCAAATTGAGGCCCGAGGTTTTCCGATATTTTGTTCTCTATTCGTTGTGTCTGGTATTTTCTACACTCTGCTTTGGATAAGATTACTATCCAAAGCAGGTAATATCTGCTTTTATAATATTTAGACAGCTATTTCGCGTTTCGATAATGTAAAAAACAATTTTTTTTTTAAGTTTTATAATAAATAATTTATAAATCATTATTTATAAAGGTTTTTCTTTGTGATATTTAACGATTGTATATAGTCTACGTATATTCAGGTGTTTTTTTGTTAAACAAATGGGATTGCATTTAAGACTACAGTCTTGTGCTATAGGATAATAATACTATGATTAAAAAAACAAGTTTACCTATTTATAAGTGTTGGGTTTTTTCGACAAAATAAAGCGCAATACTCGAGAACTAGCCGCCTGTGTCTAAATATACAAATTTAACAAAAAAAGTATAGTTAAGTATAGTTACTATACTGCTCAAAAACAACTAAACTAGTTTGGTATTTCTAAATAAAATAATACCATATTATAGTAGATCCAACTAGAATATTTCCAACCATTTACTATGACCAAATTATTTTTGATTTTTTGTAAACAACGTAAAAATACAACCACAAATATTTTTTTGGTTTTAACTGGGGTCGATTATGAGGAATTTCTGCAGTCCTTATAACTCCTCTAAAAAACCAAATTGGGTCGAGTAATTGCAATAATATTCTTAATATTTTAGGGATTTTTTTTTATCAAAATTTATGGAACAAATTATTACTGACTTATCAACTAGTGGTTTAAAAAAAAAATGTTTATGTTTTTAGTCTGTGTTTCATTGTACATTTTTTCTTTTAGATACACTATATGAAATTAACGAAACGATTGTGGCTTCAGCTCTCAATTACAGTTTGCAGATGACTAAACGTATACCAACAAGTGTTACTTATTTATGCAAACATTTTGTTTCATTAAAAGTTTTTTGGCAATCCCATTGATTGTTCGGCTATGGACAGACCACATTTTTACTGGGAAACAGGATTCGTAATGTTTTGCAATTTTTTATTTGTAAGCCTCATTCAAATTTTCCCAGTACGCAGGTTTTATCAAAATATGTTTCTAAACGAATTTAATCTTTTTTGTATTCAGATTTAAAAAACACTCCACGCTTATTTAACTTTTTCCCAGGCCTTAAATGCTAAGCTCGAAATTTTACGGGTTCGTCAATTATAAAACTCGAGTATGGTTTGATATTTTACATCCAAACCCATCTTACGAATCTATCGACTACTTTAAACGAAAAAAAAATATGACTGTATCAATAGTATATTAATCGCCGCTTGTTCAAATCGGCTATTATTTCCAAACAAAATGTATCATATTATAAGGTTCTTGTGCTTATGTTTGGTTTGTATATTTATATTTCGATGATGATTTATATATTTATAGATGATGTTTACAATATAGCAAAGGTATTCTAAAATAAAATACGGCTGAAAAAACATTTTTTATGATGGAATATTGTATTTTTGAGCATATAATTCTTAGAAAATTCACTATAAAACCTGCCTCTGTTGGTATAGCATACACGCTATTGACATTTTATTTTATTCAATGCATATTTTAAAGTTCTGAACTAGAATTGAAAAAATGAAGATGAGACATAAAATTGTCTTATGGTTTGTAATTATTCAATCTCACTTAGGAACATCTGTTCAAACGAGGAGTGATCCGAATTCACATGAAATAAAATGGGTAATTATTGTGATTTTTTCCATGATCCTTAACGAAAACGGTTAACAATAGTTAATTATAAATAATTGGTACAAAGATATTTGTTTCTATTTATTTTTTTATTTTTTCAATTCAATTTTATAGCTTTCAGACTAAAAATTGTCATTAATTTGTTTTTTCGACATTCTTTTGATTACTTTTAAACGGCTAGTTTTTATTTAAACAATTATTTTTTTCTAATCAAAATATATATTCGGATAAAAAATTATTTCAATGATTTAAATGACTTAATAGTGAGATTTGGTTATTTTAATCTGTTTTAATAATTACAATCTATTCGAATTTATCACGTTTATAGTATGACTAACCCTAATAAAATGATCAAACATAGTTAAAGTCATGTGCTGATTATTTGGAAATAATACATAATCATTCGAAAAATGATTAAATAATTTGAATGATAAAACAAAATATGAAATACCAAAAAGTAACAATATTAAAATTTTAAGAATTGTTGTATTTTTAATTGAAATTATAAGTGGATAAAGATGTTAAGTGACAATTTCAAAACCGTACAGGAGGCCACATTTTAGTCAATATATATTTATATGCTTGAAAATGTTTTAATTTTTAAACTTACCTACACACATTCAACTACTGTAATATTTTGAAAAATTGTGTAATATATCCTTACACTTTTATTTATTCAAACTAAAAACTATTTTACAAAAAAAAAATGGCAATTAACGCCTTAATCTACTCACTCCTTCATTGTGTTTTTATTTTGTACTTCCAAAATAAAATAAAAATTCTATACGTTTTAAAGCCACATCAGTTATACCTTAAGACTAATTTTTAAATCTTTAGTATCCAAACTACATCTAACAATGTAAAGTAAAATTTGAAAATATTAATATTTTTTATACCTTTATTTCAAAGTATAATACATTTTATAATGAACTATATAACGTTTTCTGTAGATTAACTAATGTGTTTAATGACATAAATTAACATTAGCGATTTTAAAAATTCCATTTTATCACTAAATTGTAACTCTTATACTACTTTTCTATCACCGACTATATGCCTTCATAAGCTTTCTTATAACTTAAGTCTGTTTCCGTTCGTTGTTTTGTGTTAAATTTATACACTTTGTTAAACGGTAGTTGTATGAAGTGTAATAAAATTAAAAAAAAACATTTTAGGTGATTGAAAGAATATGGGATTATATGGAAGTTAAAGTCGAGGAAGAAGGGCCGGTCAAAGGACAAGGTAAAGGTTTCACTACTAAAGCAACGGTACTACCAATTGTACCTTCATCAGAGCGTGCAAACATGTTGCAATGGCTAAAGGACAATCCAGAATCGAATACAAATGGTTTGTACTAAAAAAGTTAATTATTGGGCTTACAATTGTTTTTGTTGTACTTACATATCAGCTAGTTTCCTACTGGTAATTCTCAATTATCGCATAAGGAATTAAAACAGCTCAAACAAAATGTCATTTTAGCTATTCTACGTAGAAAGTAGCAGTTTTCGTATAGGTCTTTAGATTAACCTAATTTAAAAACTTCATAGTTGTGAATCAGACAGCCGTTCTAAACATATAGACACTCTATAATATTAAAAATGTATGGTCGTTTTATAACATTTTATACATAAATGAGAAGAAATAATTTTTTACTGTAACTATTTATTATTTAATTAAGAATATCTATTATGTATTGTAAAGTTGAAGAATACAAAATTTCAAGAAAGAGATTTTCAAGTTTGATGGCACACCTCATGGATGAACGAGAATTAAAAAGATTACGGTGGCGTCTAGTAAATTCATCCTAAGCAATTGTGGATAATACTTTTTCAGAATATGGCAGTCAGTGATAAGTCTTAATAACCGTATTTTCACACAATTTGTAACAAATTTTTAATATTTGTAAACAAAATAAATCAAAGATAGAAATAAATGTTGATATAATACTAAAAAAAAGAAGAATAAAATTATTTTTTAAATGTTTGTTATATCATATTTTCAGGCATTAAACAATGAAAGCAATTTCAGTTTTTTAAATATTACAATGAAAAAATCGTTGAACGCGACAATACTTGAAACTTAGTATAAGTACTAATATTTAAAGAAAAATAGATACATAGCATTGTTATAGGGCTAATATTATGAAATTGACACACATCACAGTGGTCGCTTAAATTGTAATATAAACTATGTTGTATGGCGAGAGCCCTCAGCCCAGCTTTAGTTAGACATATCTATATTGCATGCATAATAAACTAACCAGGTACAATAGTGTTGGGGCCCGTGTCACGATTGGGTTTCAATAAGCTTTAGAATATTATGTCAACAAATTATTTTTTAATAATATTATGTTTTATTTCATTTTTCGAGCTAAAAATTTGATTGATGATAGATCTAGAAAGGGCATCTACAATTTCATCTACATATTACATCTAAAATTTCCTCAAAAATTTGTTGTCAAACTTTTTTTTTTTTAAAGAATAGCCTATTAATGAGAGAATGTACACTTTATCAGTTTTAAATTTCCAGATTGCTAAATTATATGTGATTAAATCAACAATAATTTTCCTTATATTGTTGATTGCGATATTATATGGTTACACAAAGCAAGGCAACACATTTTATTAGAGACAGACGATCAACCTCAGTATAGGATAGTAGATTACACCATATTATTAAAAATAAAATTTTAGGCACGTTGTTTTATACATATATATTGTTTAACACCGTCGCGACTGGCGTCTACATTTTAAATTATGATAATAACATTTTTAATACTGCACGTGCCGAGCTTTGAGAATCCATCTTTAAGTATCGAGTATAGAATCTACGAACTCATATAAGTTACTAAATCAAGTTCAATAAGTATGCAAAAGGTCGTTTAATCTATTCTTTGGTAATCGAACCAAATAAAAATTATCATGATTATTTTAAATATACAGGGTAATCCATTTAACGTAATACACATTTATTATATAATTACTAAATATTTACCTTTTTTTAGTATAGTAGAAAGTTTCCATTTGGCTATCAACTTTTGAATCTTAAATTGGAACGTATATATTTAATTGATTTTTTGAAAATAGAATTATTCACTTCTTTATAGATAATTAATGACAAAACATTTTTTTTTAGACCTATGTATTCGATTTTTTAAAAAAATTGTCCAAAAACACTTCATGTTCCCGACTCTATAATTTAACTGCCGATAGTGGTATGGACTTGTAACCTGCACAGTTACACTTCTAATTAAGTGTACTTTGACCATATTTTTAAAATATATATATTTTTTTTTAACCCTGGGAAATTGTTATCTGTTTTTTGATTTTTCAAATACTTTTTTTGGGGTCAATAAATAAAAAAATAAATTGTTTTTATACAATTCAAGTTATGTTTGTATAACCATATCATTTTTAAACCAATTAAGTTTTTTTCCCTATTAATTTACGGTTTCAGACATAAGTGGTAAGCTGAAAACTGCCTACATTAATGACCCAAAACACAAATGTGACTGAACAATGGTAAGGGTTCAAATTTTCCGGTTTACACTTATGGGAAATATACACAATGACCCAACTTTAACAGTAATTATCTAAATCTGATTATTGACGAGTCAAATATTTCAGCAAATTATTCTCGATTCTTCTTTCAAAGTTAATTAAATATATCGTCCTCGTTTAAATTTTATAAATTGATAGCGCTTTGAAAATTACTAAAAAATGTAAAAAATTCATAATTTTATGTTATATACATTATATTTATAAATATATTTCTATTGTAATATATTTAAATATTTTCTAATATTGCACAATAACATAAACTAAAATATGTCCAAAAAGAAAAACTACAAAAATACAACTAATTCAAGAGAAAATTAGTGTCTTATCCTTAATACAACCACCCTATATACAAAAAATATACGGTGCGAGTATTATTGTGCGCACTTGTGTTGGCGTAGCATGCTATTTGCATGCCAGCGCTAGCGACAAAAGCCTATATTTTCTACTAATATTATTTAAAAAATGTGTTGTCGAACGTTCTTTTTATTAAAGTAAACCCGAAATAAAGCCGAAAATTGTACTTTGAACGAAATTAATTATTATTTTAACTGAAATTAACAATAAAATAATAATATTCTTCTCATTTGCTTATGTTATTTGGGTTATGTAACGACAAACAAAATATTATAAAAATAATACGAACCCCAATCGTATTAACTAAGTTGATCATAAAAGTTGATTCAACTTTTATTCTAAAATTATCATTTCAAGCACATTATTGCCTTTAGAATAATTTGTTTTCCATTTGTAATATTTGTACCACCACTACAGCTTTGTATCGAAGTGTAATGATTAAACAAGTGATTTCAGAACTACCCCTAACAATGAAGATGTTTTAACCACTTTGAAACACTCTGTATAGACACCGTGGATATAGACACACTGCGCTGCAGCGCAAGTATTGCATTATACCACAATGTTCATTAAATATGATTTAAGTATTTGACACTTATTGTGTAGTATTTTTTGTCCCCATTTGTGGTAAAATTTTTGAATACTTAAATCTAAACAGTTATTGATTTCCAGTCCAATCTTATAATTCATTTTGTGGAACTTTTTTTCATTTGTTATTTAAGTGTAAAAACTAAAGACTTCATGATGAAAATTATCATATTATTTACATTATTTTCCATCCTTGATGTATTGTATGTAGCCGGTGGTAACTCATGCAAAGGTAAGCCTTTAAAATGTTTCAAATAATTTTACCTTTGTATTTATAAGAAAAAGAGCGTATAATAATGTTCACTTAAATTTGGTTTTATATCAAAACAAAATAATAGTAAAGTAACCTATAAGAAATTGAATAAAGTATTTTCAATATTTTAAATATGATTTATTACCTCACATATAGGTACCATTCAAAATTAGAAACATTTTATAAAATGTATATTCCTAATCTATTAATACAGCTTGACAAATTGTTATTAGGTTTCAAAAATACAATTGAACACTTAGAGGAAGATGACAAAGTTAGTCCTAAATTAAAAAATAGTAAGTGTAATTTATTTATTTCAAATACTAAAAAATCATTAGTGAAAAATAGCTGAATTCCATTCTTAAAACTTAATTTCATTTTACAATTGGCACGTTTTAACGTTTTAGTAATACCACCGAGTACTGACCGAAATTCTTCAGAAGAGGTAAATATAATCGAATAATGTCTTTTAATTATTGTTTTTAGTAGATAGAAAATTTATATTAATATGTTTTTCGTAACCGCACATAATGTTTTGCGTTCTTAGGATAAAATATTAAAGTAATTTTTTCATACTACAAATGTTTTCTCGTCAATTTTTAAATATATTTACATTTTGGGTGTAAATCTACTTTGTTGGATACATTTTTTTCGATAGTACTCATTATGATTTTTGTGACTGCAAAAATGAATGACGGCGCATAATACTGATAGTAAACGTACGTGGCATTTTATATTGCGACGTCCCACATGCCCATCGTGGTAGAATTTTTTTTAGTACCCATATGATAAGTTTATGTTCATAAAAATTCAGTTAAGTAGATTTATTTCATTATTTCTAATGAAATAATACACATAATTCAAAATACTAAATTCTTAAAAACGTTTCTATTTCTAGAGTTCACGAGGTTCCAGCGAAAATCAACAGGTAATATATTTAAACAATCATTTAAACATATTCCGGTTAAGTTTTTTAATGAACTACTATACAAACTTAAAATTATTACAAAGTTCATAAAAAGCGTTTCTATTTTTAGAGTTCATGCTCCAACGAAAATCAACAGGTAAAGTAAACAATCGGTTTACAGTTATTAGAAATACACTATAAAATAATACTTTTGGCTTGAACGATAAAAAATAGATTTAAATATTTGACAACATTTTTATTAAAATTTCTTATTGGTTAAAATATAAAATAATGTTTTCAAAAAAAAATTGATAAACATTTTTATTAAATGTTGATATTAATAACAAAATTCATAGCCTTTTAAAATGATAATTTGAAATTGACTAATAACTTGTAAATAGACGAGTATTTATAAATAGATGAAAGCGGGTGAGCCACTATTTTGAAACTTTACGACGGGTAATATGGCGGAGCTTTGCATTATGCAACATGTTTATATGTCTAAATTTCTAAGAATTTCACGATTCTTTATCATCTTATCGATTAAAAAAATTATTGAAAAAATAAGTTTCCGGTTAAGTAGATTTATTTGACTATTTCCACATTTTTTTCAATGAAATAATATACATAATTTAAAACACTAAATTCATAAAAACCGTTTCTATTTTTAGAGTTCATGTTCCAACGAAAATCAACAGGTAAAGAAAAGTACACTTTAACATAGGTAGTATTTTTGGCATAACAGTAAAAAATATATTTAATCATTTTATAACATTTTCATTTAAATTTTGTATTAGTTGAATTCTAAAATATAATTTTAAAAACAACCAAAAGGCAATGTTTTATACTATTTACTGAAATGAACTGAAGAAAATGTATTTAGTAATATATATTTGTAAGTCATTGATTGATTTTAATGTTTCTTATACCAAAATGAAGATAACCATCCAAGTTTTGGTTAAAAATGATCAAAAAATATGTAGATAACATTTCCATGGAAAAGTTTTGAAAAAATAGTTTTAACTGGTTGCGTTCTTTAATTATCTTATAAAAAAAGTAATAATTATATAAATAAAAAATGCCCCAATAATTTATTGCAGAATTACCTCGATTAGTTAATTTTCAAACAATTAGAGTTTAAACTTATTATGTATTATCTCAATAATCATGAACTGTTTTTATAATATTTTTCAATAATTTTTTGTTTTATTTGTTAACGCCGAAATAACACAACTGAAACAGGAACGCTGGGAAGAATTGGAAGAATTGTATCATGTGGAAGTTTTACAATTGTTAAATTCTATGCCGACGTTAGACGAGAGGGATGTTGGCTTTGACAACGATGACATTAGACTTCTTACGAGAGAATGCAATCTTGACGAACACTGTTTGAACGAGAAAAAAACATCCGTTAAAAAGTATCAGCAAAAAATGCAAGCGATCCAGTGTATAAACGGATTGTTCGTTTTGAACGTTTTGGACGAACTGAAAACGATTAAGCCCGTTAGGAAACATCGGCGTTATCTCAAAAGCATGTTGTCCCTGTTAAACATGGCGAACTGGGTCGCTTATCCTTGGCAAATCGAAATGTTCACCTTTGCGGAGGGTCTCGCGGCCAAGGACGCCGTCTTGGGTTTATACGAAGAACATTTAAAAAATAACGAAAAACGCATACGGGACAACACGTTAGCGGTCGTTAGCCAATGTGTCAATGATAAATATTTATCGTATCGAGACAAAACGTCGTCGTCAGATACGTCAACGATGATATCCGGTCTGGTCGAAGGCGTTAATTCGCAGATGCAATTTTTGTACAAAAGCGGCGAGTTAGACGCGTACAGACGCCTAGAATTCTACACAGTACCGAATCTTACATTGCAGCATCTGTATTTACAACACGATTTCATTGTGGACTGGTCCATGTATGACTATGAACTTGAAACGATTAATGTCCAACGTCAATTGCTAAGATACGCCGCGTTGTACAATACCAAACAGTTGCGTCATGAATGGGAATTGGATCCGATCGGCGGCAATAAGTACAATGTGCTGATCTCCAAATGCATTTACTTAAGAATTTTGTACTCCGCGTGGGTTCATTTGTATACATTCCGCATCTTGCTGAGCCGATCGTCCGAAGTGAACGCGTCACTGTTGGAAATGTGGAAAACCCTCGTCGATCCTCTGAAACGTGCCTTGAGGTTGTTTCGGTTTAACGGAAACATCTACTGGTCTGCAATAAACATTATGATGGACGACTTAAGTAACATCGGCATAGAAAAATTAGCGGCACGGGAACGGTATACGAGAAATTATTTTTGTCGAGCAGCAGAAGAATTGGAACTCGCTAGTGCATCCGACATCGATCGTCAATTAAAACAATTAAGTATTTCAGAAGACCACGAAATAACGTGCATCATGATCGATACTAATGCCAAAATGTTAAACTTTTACACTTGTACTGTTCTCCATACGTTAAGGCCAGTTGACGGCGCGTTCATTCGTATGATAGTGTCCGCCGAAGGAAACGAAACCTTTGTTATGCATTAGATGGTTTGAAAATGAAAAATAATAATTTTCTAACAAATAACAGCAAACAATATAATATAGTTATAATAATACTTTCTAATAAATAACAATTTTATTCTTTTCTGTTTATATAATTAATGATAATATTTTTCATGCTGTAATATTTTTTCTTTATTAAAACAACCTAACCCTAACACAATCTAAGTATTATATTATAATTAAAGTATTAGACAAAATGTTTGCACAGTGATAAACGACCCTGTAATTGTATTTTAATGTTGAAGACCCAAAAAAATAATAAATCCCTTTACCTTAGAAGCGGTGGAAAGTTTTTCTTTATTCCACTTTTTTCAGGTGAATGTTAAAGGGTTTTAGATCTGAAAATTAGACTGAAGTCCTACAATAGTTACGATAGTTCTATAATAAAACTATAAAATTTACAATTTTTTTTTAAATATTTATGGGCAAATTTTTCTTTTTAAGAAAACGCCAAAAAAATGGGAAACTACACTTTGACCGTAATCAATTACCAGGTTTCTATGTGTGACTAAATCAACAGTCAACGGGAAATGAAAATATTTTCATTATATGGTGATTTACGATGTATGACAATATATTTTTATAGACAGACGATCAACTCTAATCATATATTAAATTAATTTTTAAGCACATAAATGTCATTAGGTACACAATGTTTTTATCGATATTTGTATTTTTATCTATGAACACTGGACCTCCCTTACTTATTTATGTACTACATACTTTCTTACTGAGCTGGTTTATACTGTGCTTAGTTTGGACTGCACTGGGTTAAACCTACTATCCAAAGATTCTCAAGCTTTGATCTAATTTTGGTTAGATTACCATCGAAAATACTATGTCTTGAAATTTTAAAATAATTCATTTATTTTTAAAGAATTTATAGCACGTCGTACATTTATGTTGAATAATATACAATATGAATGTGTTGAAACTTTCATGGATTGAAAACTCATCCGCATAATATACACAATATATTAAAAGAAAGGGATTATATTTTTGACCCAATAAACTACCTTTCTAGTGTGTTTTCTGACCTACATAGAGATTATGCAAAAATAAATATATTTTGTGGTTTAGATGATATCGTGTTTCTACACACAAATCAAAAAAAAAAAAACACGTTATTGTAAAAAAAATACCTTTTCAGTACCAAATCAAAGCTATACCTTAAGTGAATACTACAATATTAATTAAATATAATTTATTTGACAGTTATTGTGTTGTATTTTGTGTCCCCATATGTGCTGCGAATTTTGTTTACTTAACATAAATAGGTATTTATTTAAGTCGATGAGTTCAATCTTAAAATTCAATTTTTAAAAATTGTTTTCAGTTGTTGCTTACGTGTAAGTAAACTAAAGTCGTCATGATGAAAATTATCATATTATTCACGTTATTTTCAATTATTAATGTATCGTATGTAGCCGGCGGCAACTCATGCAAATGTAAGTAAGCCTTTAAAATATTTCTAATATTTTTATCATTATATTTACACGAGAAAGGGAGTATAAAATAATATTCGTTTCGAAGCTGAAATTGGCTTTTTTACATCAAAACAAAATAATAGCAAAGTAAGTTGTATGAAATTTAATTAGTATTTCGAATATTTTAAATTTCCTTTATTACCTGACATTCCGTTCAAAATTAGAAACATCTTTTTAAAATGAGAAAATAATTGGGATAGTATAGATGTATATTCTTAATTCCTGTTTTTTAGTACAACTTAATAAATTTATTTTAGCTCAAGGTACAAGCATTAAAAGTAAAAACTTGGGAAGGTATGACAAGCTTAGTGATAATTTAAATGATAGTAAGTATAATCAATTTATTTCAAATACTTAAAACTGATTAGTAGACAATGGCTTTATAGAGCTTTTGAATTTCATTCTTAAAATTAAATTGATATTTTATTTTACATTTTGTTAAATAACATTTATGTTGACGTATTTTAACGTTTTAGTACCAGAACCACCAAACACTGAACAAAATTATCCGGGAGAGGTAAAAACAATCGACTAATGTCTTTTACTTATAGCTTTTAGTTGGTACATAATTGATATTAATATGTTTTTCATAACCCCACAAAATGTTTTGCATTCTTAGGATAAAATATAAAGTAATTTTATAATACTATAAATGTTTTCCCATCAATTTTCAAATAAATTTACATTTTAAGTGTAAATCTACTTTGTTGGATACTGATTTTTTCGATAGTACTATTCATATTGATTTCGTGACTGGAAAAATTAATGATGACGATAATAAACGTACGTGGCATTTTATTTTGTGACGTCCCACATTCCCCCGCCCATCGTGGTAGACATTTTTTTTGCTACCTATTTGATAAGTTGAAACTAATAACTACAGCTAGGAATGTAATGCGTTATAAGATCCCTACATATGCCTTAAAAAAATGTTGATATTTATAACCAAATTCAAAGCCTTTTAAAATGATAACTTGAAATTGACTAATAACTTATAAGTAGACGAAAGTGGATGAGTCTCTATTTTGAAAGTTTACAGTGAGTAATATGGCGAAACTATGCATTAGGCATGATATTTACAAGTCTACGTTTATATTTCTAAGAATTTCCCGATTGTTTATCATCTTATCGATTAAAAAAATAATTGAAAAAATAAGATTCCGGCTAAGTAGATTTATTCTATGGAATAATATACATAATTTAAAACACTAAATTCATAAAAAGCGTTTCTACTTTTAGAGTTCATGTTCCAACGAAAATCAACAGGTAAAGTAAAGTGTACTTACTACATTACTAACTACTAGATAAAAAATATATTTAATCATTTGACAAAATTTCCATTTAAATTTTTTATTAGCGGAATTTTAAAATAATAATTTCTAAAAAATTGCTAAAAAATATGTAAATGAAAAATGGCTCAATTATTTGTTATAAAATTAACTTGAATAATCATTTTTTAAACAATTAACATTTTTTTTAAAACAAAGTATAACTGCTTCTATAATTTCAAAATGTAATTCAATATTTTTGTTTGTTTGATTTGGCAACATTGAAACAACACAATTTAAATAGGAAAAGTTGGTGGAAGAATTGGAAGAATTGTACCGCGTGGAAATTTTACAATTGTTAAATTCTATGCCGACGTTAGACAAGAAGGATGTTAAGTTTGACCAAAACGACATTAAACTACTTACGGAAGAATGCAAACTTGACAAAAACTGTTTAAAACAGAAAAAAGCATCGGTCAAAAAGTATCAGCAGAAAATGCAAGCGATCCAGTGCATAAACGGTTTGTTCGTTTTGAAAGTTTTGGACGACCTGAAAACAATGGAGCCAGTTTTTCAACATCAACATTATCTAAAAAGCATGTTGTCGCTGTTGAGCATAGCGAAATGGGTCGCTTATCCTTGGCAGATCGAAATGTTCACCTTTGCGGAGGGTCTCGCGGCCTCGGACGCCGACTTGGGTTTATACGAAGAACATTTGAAAAATAACGAAAAACGCATACGGGACAACACGTTAGCGGTCGTTTGCCAATGTGTCAATGATAAATATTTATTATCGTATCGAGACAAAACGTCGTCGTCGTCAGTGACGTCAACGATGATATCTGGTCTCGTCGAAGGCGTTTATTCGCAGATGCAGTTGTTGTACAAAAGCGACGAGTTCAGGCACTACGGTCACCTGGAACTGTACACTGCACGCAATCTTATGTTGTGGCATCTGCACACACGTCACGATGTCATTTTCGACTTGGCAATGTACGACTACCAACTGGACACGAGTAACGTGGAACGTCAATTGATGGGATACGTGGCGCAGTACAATCCCCAAGAGTCGTACCACGGATGGATATTGGACCCGATCGGCGGCAATAAGTACAATGTGCTGATCTCCAAATGCATTTACCTGAGACTCGTGTACGCCGCGTGGGTTCATTTGTATACATACCGCATCTTGCTGAGCCGATCGTCCGAAGTGAACGCGTCACTGTTGGAAGTCTGGAAAACCCTCGTCGATCCCCTGAAACGTGCCTTGAGGTTGTTTCGGTTTAACGGAAACATCTACTGGTCTGCATTAAACATTATGATGGACGACTTAAGTAACATCGGCATAGAACAACTAGCGGCACGGGAACGGTATACGAGAAATTATTTTTGTCGAGCAGCAGAAGAATTGGAACTCGCTAGTGCATCCGACATAGATCGACAGTTAAAACAATTAAACGTTTCAGAAGACCACGGTGTAACGTATGAGAGGATCGATGCAAATTCCAACGTTCTAAATATGTACATCACTAGAATAGTTCATGCATTAAAGCCGATCGATGGCAGGTTTGTTCGTATAATAGTGTCCGCCGAAGGGAATGAAACCTTTTTTAAGCATTCGAAAAAAAATTAAAAATATACAATGATATAATAATATTTTATAATAAATAATCATTTTTTCCCCCTTATATTTACATAATATTGTTAACCGTTATAATTTTCATGCTGTAATATTTTTTCTTTTATATAAGCACTTAAAAAAATATATATACATATAAATAATTTGGTTTAGCGATTAACGTGACGTGTATTTCGGACGGTTCTTCAAATCTTTTTTGGAAAGTATGACTGATTAAACTTCTGGATATGCATAATATCCATTAGATTATTATTACTGTTATTATTACCAAAAATTGTTTAAATAATATTATATTACCATTGTAGCCAAGGCTTTTTATTTCAATAATAAAAAAAAAAATATTTAAAACTATTATAGCAAAAACGTTTATGGTGTATTTGAAATATTTTATCCTGCGCTGTTTCGAAAATGTAAAAAATAAATTGTTTGTGATTACACTTATATTGTAGATCGGAATTGCCATAAAATATTTACATGTTAATACAACCACTATGAGAAATATGTTGGCCGCACTTCTTCACTTATACTACTTTGCTGACCCATGCAACTTTTAAACAACAACAGTCGCCAGGTGTCAAGATATTATAGACAATGACGTTAGATATTAAGGAGCACACAAAAAAAAATGTTTTTAGTTATTATTAAAATGTTAAATTACTGTAGTCAGAACTATTAAAAACGTTTTGGTCAAAATCCGATGCAAAAAAAATTGTTATTTAAGGAGATATTAGGATATCTAAAGTAGCTCGCTTTACACATTGATTTACTCACCGATACATATTTTTAACTTTGATATTTGATTTGCACATACTGCTCATATTGATTATTGATCATTATTTACACATTGAGCTCGGCCCAATGACGTCACGCTTTTTTTTTCAATGTTCCATAACATTGTGTTAACAGAATATTGTGAGTAGGAACGTCAAACCTAAATCATTTTTCTTAGAATTAAACGTTCTTTTAAATTAAAAAAACTTATTTTTTGTGTTTTGTGCTCCTTTAACGAGTAAATCATATTGAATTTCGTTAATACATATTATAACATTTATATTACGTTTTGTATAGCGTTCAATTTTATTTCAATAACAAAAAAACAGGTTAAGTAAAATCAATAAAGCGTAGCTACATTTTTTTTTTTTTTTACAGGCATGTCGAAAACTGAATATTTCTGTTGAACTAGATCAGTAAGGGTTTGAGTTAAAACATGAAGGTTAATTTATGTTTATTTTATATTACACTGTTTTTAATCGATGAAATCATGTGCAATAATATATATAAAAAACCAGTACAGTAAGGTCATAGTATAGTGGGGACGGAGAGGTCACAGGTTTACAGGACTTTTTAAATCTGAAAGTGATAAAATCACTTTCGAAAAAACGCTTCGATGCAAATCGGTAGTTAGTATTTTCAAGCCAGTACAGTCCAAACCAAGCACAGTATAAACCAGCAAAGTTAGAATGTTTTAAATTGAGGTTCTGTATTTACAAATAAGCATCAACAGATAATACAACTTGTTTATCTCAGTGGTACTTTTGGTTAAATAAATTATGTTGCAGCAAAACCTTATTGTAAAGGCAAGGTTAAACAGTTTAATTTTTATAACATGTTTAAAAAGGTGACTTATAATATCCATTTGGCTTTCATCACTTAAAATATATTTCGATTAAAATGTTTTGATTATTTTACCTTGGCGAACTTATGGCCCTAAAATAAAAAATAAAAACATATTAAATATAATATATTTCATTAATGTTTCATTCTATGTTGTATATTCGGTAGGAATTCATTACATTTAAACAATTTTTAAATTACTTTTAAATTAACAACATATTTTGTTTTAAAATCTAAACTTATTTTAAAATGAATGATGGGAAACATATTTTTTTCATTTTGAATATGCATTCATTATTTTTTTTATTATTATATTGGTATTAGTTATTACCAAATGTTTGGTAGCTAAATATGTTCCTTTGAAGTTTTCTAAGCAAAAACAAAAGTGTTTGTCTTTATTTTTATTTGTTAAATTTTAAATAATATCTTAGTTATACTATTTACATAGTTATTGTCCTATGATGAATTTAAAATAAATGACCATACATGGGGTATATGCTGTGTCTCTACAATAAGGCGGCTATCACAAAAGAGCAGTATAGGCAATGAGCAACTAGCAATCGGTAAGTAATAGTAAGTAATTAACTCGCAATATTATCACTTATTGCCGATTGCTAGTTGCTCATTGTCTACTGCTCTGGTGCGAGAGCCGTCGAAGAGACAATTGGGCAAATAGGACACTATTCTTGGAATTTGGTTCAGGCTTAAACCTGTGGTTGTTAGATTTTATTTATGTTCCTTTTGTATTAAGTATGTGATAAGGAGTACGACCATTCCACGGCCAGTGACTGTTCGATGGTCTGACTGAACAGGTTTCTGAATGAGGCATACGACAGAATTTGCCACAATTTAGATATTACTACTTTGATAGGCTCACTTTTAGGGATTGAACTTGGCCTTTTTTTCACGGTTAGCTTTTTGTTGGGCACTTGCTATTTTTTTTTTATACTCAGGTCGTGCCACAACAGTGGTGGTAGATTATTTATATTTTACTGGCGAAAATTAACACTAGTATAGAGTTTAGACTGAGTTAAATGATATTATTAGGATTGTTAAATTATTCTGTATTCGATGATCGATAAAATATGATGTATTATAACTACCCTCTCTCAAACGGCACTAATTTTGATAACATTGCAATTTTAAGATTTTTTCCTTTACTTACACTATAAGAACTACCTTTTTCCCAAATATCACATATCTATAGAAAAGTGCCTTATAATATTAACGATCAGTGAGCCAGTAACAAAAATGCAAACTTTAAAGTTCTACCTTTTTGAAATGGCATAATATTAAGAGGTTAATTTTGTACAGCGTTCTAAGTCCCCTAAGCTTAATCTATGTTTCAAATTTCAAACGCTCATCATAAGAGGAAGCAGAGATATGAGAGTTAGAAAAACCTCACTCGACAAGCCAACGCGCATAAATTATTATATTTTTGGCAATCGGTGGATAATATTTAACGCTTGTATTATTTCTTTGTTGCTTGCCTGCTGATGAGCATCAGATACAAAGATGTACATTGTACATACATCTTATGTTAAAGACCCGTGTGTACAAGATTTTTGACTAGGATGGACGTACAGTGTGATGTACTAATAAAATCGTGTGTGTTTAGGTTTGGCTTAAGCTGTGTAATTGAGCCTTTTCGTGATAGAAATGTAAATGGCGGCCGTATTGTTGCAAACGTGACTAAAATAATATCCAAGCAAAAATAAAAAAATGTTAAAAATTAAAACTGGGTTTAGAAATTAGGGAAAATGCCGCTTGAATCCACACTAAATATTACCTATCGTGTTCACCCTTAGCTAAGCATACAAAACCCACCTACTTTTCCCTTCTGTAACTGTCGCCGCCCCCTCTCTGCACTCTTTCCCACCCTTTCAGCCCCTCCCTCTCATCGAACAGATGATTTACTTGAAGTGTTTCTACAAGAACGACCATATTATATTATGTTCATTGACATTTTGCTAATTATAATTATGATTTTCCATTTGGATTGGATTCAATTTTAACGGAGCAATACATTTTTCAAATTTTTATGGGGACCTGTTGGTAACAGGATTACCCTTCCTAGTTAATTTTATGTATATTTTTTTTGTTACAGTATATATTATATATATATATATATATATTTTTTTTTTTTTACACACAAACCAATTAACTATTGATCTTGTAAATTATTTCTACAACGGATTGGTAAAATTCGAACACATGTGTTTGTTTTTATTTAGAAAACCCCCACAAAACAAGGGGGAAATTACCCTTGTAAATGTCTAGCTTGATCCACGTAAGTGCCAATCAACAGTCAATAGGTATTTGAAAATAGTTTTATTTGAGAAATTTGGGTAAAAACGCCAATAAATAATAATATAGACGGACGATCAACCCTAACCGTATCCACACTAATGCAAACAATTAAATTTTAGTTCCTTTTTGGCTTTTACAATGTCGTTATCGATTGGTTAAGTAGGATTTTTGGATTGTATGTACAAACAAAAAATAAAATTAAAACTTTTAACTTTACCGGGTAGACGGAGGGGGTATAACATTTTGGGGTTTGATACAGTATCATTATAAGGACATGTCCATAAATTGTTCCGGGGTAAACTCTATAGGAATAATTATAAGTAATTGAAAATGATAAAATCACTGGCTCTATAATATTTCACAAACCGGGACGGTCGCTAGTCAACGCTATACAACTAACACTTCATAGCACTTTCAGTATTTCTTATAAAAAGTGGAAATCTTTTTTTGTTTTCTTTAGTAAAAACTTTATTTTACACGCACAATGTTCAAGCCTGTTGGTAGCGGTACCCGTGCTGTGCGCGGTGGGGTATTGTATATACTTCGACCATACTAGAAGAAATCACCCAGATTTCAAAAAACACCTAAGAGAAAAACGTCGAGAGGCGAAGAGACAATCGATCCGGACGAGCTTTTTAGCTGAGCAAAGACAATTGTTGGATACGGCTTATTTACTAGCCCAACAACTTCATACAAAAGACATTGCGGTAAATATTAAATTCGCGGACGCTCTGTCCACGATATTTGCATACCCTAATAATGAGATACAAGATGAGGCCCTAAAAATATTTGGGCCTATACTGGAGGAGCACGCAGACAACATGAAAGTCTTCGAAGGTATAGTGAATAACAAAAGAATAAAGCTTATGAAGGATCATAAAGACCTTTACGCTAATAAAGACTTTTTCTGCCTTCTTGATTTAGCAGCAATACATTTATACAAGGTTGTCAGAGCCAATAATTAAGACTCCACCGTTGTTCAAAGAATATACATATTCAACCTAGCATTCGACCTAATGAAAGAAAATCTGATATATCGAGCCACAATTGAAAGCCTTCTTCGAGAAATCAAGGTACTTTTGGAAAAATACAAATTACCGGCCGAACCTATTTCTTTACCACAAAATCAAGCTTGCGTTTTGTGTGGTAAAAAAAAATAACAGAACGTCGACAACCTGCTGCCAATGTGGTAATTACGTTTGTAAAAAACACTCATCCAAAACTGCGGTGTAACTCGTGTGTGCAACCAAAAAGTGACCAAGATAGCTTTGAGGGCGTATAACTTATTTACTTTTTTCCCACTCGTATATAAGTCATTTACTTGTAACAAGAGTCTCTTATTTTAATTATTCACAAGAAAATGATACTTATATATTTCCT